CTTTAATATTGTAATATATCTATTTATAATAAAGCAATTATTGTTGTTGTAATGTTGTTGTGTAAATGAAAACACCACAATAATAAAATAATTAGACTACAACAAAAAAATATATTATTGTTATTATTAAATATTCATAATGCAAGTTTTTTTTGTTGTAGTCTAATGATTTTTATAATTGCAGTATTTTTATTTAATTTAATAAAACTGTATTATTATTGTTATTATTATTATAAATAAACTATCACAATAATAAATAATCATTCAATTACAACAAAAACAATCATAATAATTATTGTTAATATTATTATTAAATATTGAACATTTTTTGTAGTCTAATGATTTTTATAGTCATTTAAAAATGTGGAATAAAACTAATTATTGATCCGTTCTTCATATCTGTAATCAGAACAATTTTGGTCATAAAAAACGGTATTTTAGAGTTATCAAAAGTGCAATTCTACATTTTTAAATGCAATGTAAACGTATTGAGTTTTAGGGATGTGTTTTATGAATAAATCTAAACTGACAGGACAGAGGAATTTAAAGGTCGCTCATGCTTATTGTTTGTTTGGTTTTTTAAGGACAGACTTGAGGTCGGAGACTAGATATCCAGAGACGGATAAAGTGTGAGTGTGTGTGTGTGTGTGTGTCCGCTTTAATCAGTAGGATAGTTTTTTCCAGTTCCAGTCAGATTGTGAAGTAAAACTACATCCTGACACACACGAGCCTGTTGTTAAATGAAAGCATGGTTAATGCAGATTTATGCGGCGCAGAATAGGTGGCTAATATGCTAATAGACGAGTTATGCTGATGCCCTCATCAGGTTGAGGACGTGTGGATTTTTCTGCGTATGATTAACATGTTGAAGAGCTCTTGGAGTGGCTTGTTTTTCCGAGATGAACACAATGCTTGGCCCGGTTTGTGGAGGAGAAACAGGAAACAATAGACTTGATTACCCGATCGATGGGTCGTCATTTGCATCCGCAGCAGCTCGCCTGATCCAAAAACATCAGGTGAGACTATAATGCTATAATCTTGAGGCTTGATGCAGATCCTGGAGAGCTTGAAAACAGTCCCATTCTGTCAGTAAAAAGCACAATTTTCCTTTATTAAAGCCTCTTGCGTGACTCATATAGCAGGAAAGAGTCGCCTGCTGTTGAGTATCTGTGATTAAACCGGGCCAAAATGTCTTGAGTTGTCAGTAGTTGTGCTCTTAGATCATCTATATGTATATCTATATAAAAAGTACTATAAAGTTAGTAAAAAAATAAAATTTTTAGCAGATACACTGAAAAAAATGAAGTGTAGAGTAAACAATTTTTGCTCAGAAATGGCTAGTAAATTTCACAAAGAATTACAAAGAAACTGCAAATAACACGTTGAATTGTGAAATTTTAAAGTGGAAAGACTGAAATAGTATTTTCTTTTAAAACATACTCCTTCGAAAAATCTTTTTTTTTACGGTGTATACGCATTTAAAATGTTGCAGTCTTTCTCTTCAGGGGAAAACACACCAAAAATATTGCTGTTTTTACATCCTCTGCAGGGGCGTATGCATATTTTTGTCCAATAAAGCTGCTTTCTGGACTGGGAATGTCTTTAAATAACAAATAGCACTTTATAAAAAGGTTTGTGATTCATCCTGTCCAATCTTAGAAAAGTCAGAATGTCAGTAGACCAACATAGGACAGAAAACTGCATTTATTAAGTTATTTTATGGTGTCTTCAATCATAATTTCTTTTAACTTGTCAACTTTTTTCTTCCACTTTAGCCCAACAAAGCCGAGACAATGACTCCGTCAAGTAGAGATGTTATATAAATTGACAGTTGTGCTATAGTTGTCTGAGAAACTAACAAGTCTTGACAGACGTTACATTGACGCATCGTCCTTGGCCTTATCTTATGAATCTGTTTTTTGATAACGATGAAGGGTTATACTTTCCTCAGGGTCACACATCCATTGACCTGTCACCATCTAAACTAAAACTCAAACCATGAAAACATTGAGTTACTTGAAATAAAATAAACATGAACTGAAAAACAGTGAAGATAGTTATATTTATAGCCCAGCAGTGTTATTTTAGTATCACTGTGAAACTATTAGTTTTTCTTAATATTTTGAATCTTTGAATTTTTTTAATCTTAAATCTTTGAACCTGAAAAACTTTGCAATTGCAATTATTTTTATTAACATTAACGTTAGTACATTTAATGAATCCTTTATAGAACTGTGTGTACAATATCTTGTCTATTTTTATATTTTACAAGGTTTTAAGTTTAAGTTTAATTATATAATGTTGGTTTTTATTGTACTGTGTTTATTATATTGTTGCATGTTTAATCGGTATGTGATATGGCAATAAATAATTTTAAATACAACCAACCAAAAACTTTAAACCAAAAACATAAAACTATATAAATTATATTTTTTAGAAATATATTTCAAAAACCTATATTTAAAACAAAAACAAATGACAAACACACAGCAAAATTACTAAAAATGTAACTAAAATTAAAATGAAAACTAATTTAATAAAAACTATATTATGCTAAAATAGCACTGCAACACATACTTGTGCACAAATAAGTCAAAAACTCTAGTACACATCAGCACATACATCATAAGCGTGATTTATGCGGTTTACACCTGTTATTTTCAGGTGATATTTAGAAGCTGTGTGTGTGTGTGTTGTGTGTGTGTGTTTTCCTCCTCACGGCACTCAGAAGTGTTGATACAGCCGTCACACAGATATTTTTTTCATGGTCGCGGGACTGAAATAATCACAGATTCTGCTTTAGCTGAAATCAGGCTCGGCTCTTGAAAGATGTGGCCTCTTGGAGTTATGATTGATGATCAGCTGAATTTCACAGACCTCATTGTTAGAACTGTCCGGTCCTGCAGATTTGCCTTATACAACATCAAGAAGATCAGGCCCTTTCTATCAGAACATGCTTCACAACTCCTTGTTCAAGCTCTTGTTCTGTCCAGGCTGGACTATTGCAATGCTCTCTTGGCAGGTCTTCCAGCCACTTCTATCAAACCTCTACAATTACCGTAATCCAGAATGCTGCTGCAAGATTAGTCTTTAACAAGCCGAAAAGAGCGCATGTCACACCTCTGTTCATCAATTTGCTCTGGCTACCATTTAGCTGCTTGCATTAAAATTCAAGGCATTGATGTTTGCCTACAAAACAAGCACTGGCTCTGCACCACTTTACCTAAATTCATTACTTCAGATTTATGTGCCCTCTAGAAGCTTGCGTTCTGCAAGTGAACGGCGTATTATAGTGCCGTCCTAAAGAGGCAGACGAAACCGCTAAAAACACATCTCTTCCATCTACACTTGATCCTCTAACTCTAGCACTCTCTATTCTATTTCTATTCTATCTACTTGTTTTCTTTTTATTGATTAAAAAAAAACTTGACCCTCTAACAATAGCGTTGTCTATTCTTTTCCTATTCTATCTACTTTTAATTATTATAAAAGATAATAATAACTTGACCCTGTAACACTAGCTCGATCTACTTTTTATTCCTTCTATTTATTATAAAAAATAAAAATACAAAACCCTTGCTATGTGTAGTGCGTTAGACTAACCGGGACTCGTCACAGCACTTATATTATATCATTGCTCTTTTGTTGATTTTGATTGCTTCTATTGTCCTCATTTGTAAGTCGCTTTGGATAAAAGCGTCTGCTAAATGACTAAATGTAAATGGATACAGGTCTGGGATCAGATTTTATACCTGAGTGCAGCTGAATATGGAGCAGGTGAAGCTGATAAAATACTGAAATGTCTCTGAAAATGCCACTGTTTACCAAAATAAATAAATAAATTTCTCCTGGGAATTATTGTATATAGTCATTGAAGTATTACTGTTATTATAATTATTTTAAATGTTATTATTCTTGAGTTTGCCATGAATATAGCATTTGATGTGGATATTGTATTAAATGCTAAATAAATAAACCACTATTCATAAGTGTAAGCTGAAAACATATTGCATTTTCTGGCTTCTTGTTTATTAGCAACATGTAACCAATCTCTCTTAGACTTGTCGGTGGTGTTGAGACGGTATCATGAAAATCCTACATGTATATTTGTGTGTGTATATACATATTATCACTAATATTTGTTTCTAATATTTCTTTTTATTGCATCATAACATAACATGACTTATACTCAACCTTATTTGGTGATGAATTTTACACAGGAAAAAAAAAACAAAAAAAACTGAACAAAACAGTGAGGTTTTTATATTTTTATTTAATATTTTTATATGCACAGCAGTGTTATTTTAGTACCATTGAGACAGGACGAACAAAACAGTGAGGTTTTTATATTTTTATTTAATATTTTTATATGCACAGCAGTGTTATTTTAGTACCATTGAGATACTATTATAGTTTTTGAATCAGTTTTTTATTTTATTTTACATTTTAATTTTATTTAAAGTTTTAGTAATTTTGTTGTGTTTTGTCATTTTATTCGTTTTTTTTATATTAATGTTTATAGTTTTTATTTTATTTCATTTTTAGTTTTAGTCATTTTAGTACTACAAATTAAACTAAAATGAAAATGAGAAATATTGCATTGGCAACTAGCTGGAATAAAATGTTTTATTGCTATTTAGTATTATTATTATGTTGTTTTAGATGTTGTTTTAGTTAAATAGAATAACCCTGAGACATATAGACATATTTATAAAAAATAAATAAATAAAAATGACCAAAAAACACAACAAAATTATTAACACTTTAAAATGGAAATGGAAAATAAAAACTAATTCAAAATAGAAAGTAAAACTATAATAGTATATTAATGATACCAAAATAACACTGAAACACATAATTGTGTACTTAAAAGTCAAAACATTTATGCACATACATTATAAACATGATGATTTGTGCTGTTTACACCTGTTATTTTTTTAGATGATTGTGAAATATCATCCTAACCGGTTGAGTTGAATCACGATGTCTTGTTTTTGCAGGTTTTGATCGTGGCAAAGACGAAATCCTGCCTCTGAAAGAAGACTCCTCACACTCCATATCCAAGAGCAAGGTAAACTCCCTACCCATGATCCTCTGGGGCTGGAATCGGATCGATACGGGTCTTCAGCCCGTGTTTATTAATTATACATAGTCAGGAGCGTCTCAGAGGTGACGGGACAGCAGGGGGACGGGCGTTGATTAGCAGCATGTCAGAAATAACCCTAGAGAAGTCTCCGTTAACATCCCACGCTCGCTAATGTGATCAAATGCATCGTAGCATTGAAGCCGTTAGACCAGATAAGACTAGATTTGTGAACACACATAAACGCTAAATCGGTGCGTCACAGGTTAGCTTGAGTCACTCTGGTGGGTTTTAGATGTCGTAGACGTGCCGCCACATCCAGACGGACCATTAAGAGACGCACTCGAAATCCAGAATAAATCCCAGAGCCGTCAGACACGAGCGTCAGAGAGGAATTAACAGAGATCCTTCAGACCCTTTCAAAGGGCTAATTAACCCATGTTCACATAAAGATATTTCACCTAATCGGCTTTGAAAAGCTTCGGGGTGAAATTAAAAGACCGGTCCAAAATTAAGCTTAGACCCACCTGGAAGGTGAACTGATTAAATGTTCTGACTGTGAGTGCTTCATTAGTTATAAAACTGTATTTGGCATTATATTGTATTTTGTGTTATGATTAATATTTATTTCAAGTAATGAAAATGTTTGTTACGGTTTTAATTTTATTTCAGTTTTAACTATAATGATCCTGAAAGTAATTTTACTGTGTTTTTGTCATTTTTATTGTTTTTATAAATATATCTACTAGGGATGTAACGATTCACTCAACTCACGATTCGATTCGATTCACGATTTTGATTTCACGATTCGTTTTTATTTATTTGCGTGTGTGTGTGTGTGTATAAATAATTTGTAAATATGTATGGATTATGCCACATTAATTTAGGCCTGCCTAAGGCACAGCTCATAATATCATAATGTTCATCATGCCGTGTAAATTACTAACACTTATGTTGGTTTTGCAGTCGGAAACAAAGCTCTATAATGGCTCAGATAAGGACGTATCGGCGTCTGGAAACAAGCTTACTAAGAAGGAGTCACTCAAGGTACAGCCATACTCATTAATGACACACTGATCAATACAGACTTTCAGTGCATTTTTTTATTTATGCATGCTGATTACTAATGATAATAATGACTAATAATGTGATGTTTTGCGTGCATGTCTATTCAGGTGCAAAAGAAGAACTACAGGGAAGAGAAGAAACGTGCCACTAAAGAGCTGCTGAGCACCATCACTGATCCGTCTGTCATCGTCATGGCTGACTGGCTCAAGGTTTGCCCTTAAAATGTGTTTATTCTTGTAGGCCATTTTCATACTGGAGTCTTTGATGTGGCTTAACTTACACAACCCAAATCACTCACATATGCAACTAAATCTTCACTCTGGGCGACTAAATGATGTCTATCGTTAGCCATTGGCTAATAAATTCTTAGATTTTACTCGCCAGTGTGTGTTAGAGGCTAAGTGTAAGTTTAGCACAGATATATTTTCACTCTGACTGAGCGCTTCAGAGTTTCACTCTCCATTAAGCGATCTGTGCTGTTTTTCAGTTCATCTCGATGGATGCGCAGCGCACCTGTATTTGACGCACCGTAAACTCTAGTGTGAAGACACACGACTCGCCGTCGCTTTGCTGATAGCGCTGTGTTTCTCACACACACGCAAAGACAGAGAGAGAGCGAGTGAGAGAGTCTTACAGAATTGACGCGCTACATGTAAATGATATTCTTTGTTGTATTCTTCTGTAAAAATAACAGTTCATTTAGAATTATCCAGCTTTTAAGAACAAGCAGAAGATATGCAGGTTTCTCCAGTAGTGGGCGGAGCTAATGCGCAAACGGCAATCTCATTGGCTGGCGCTCACCTATTACCGTCCCTGTTTTGATTTCACCAAATCAGTTTCGAGCGCACGCAGACAACGTGATTAATATTCATGAACCCAGCAGCTTATTAATCCGTAGTGCGTTTTATATTGTTATTAGTAGTAGAGTAGTAGTTTTTTTTTTTTTACAGAAACACTGCATGACCAACAATATCTTAAGCACCACCACCAGTCCTAAGTTCAGCTAAAATGACAAAAAATGCTTTCATACATGATTACCAAGTTTTAGTTCTAATTGCTAAAGTTCTATCATTAAATAATGCTTAATTATCATAATATCATAATATAATGCTTGACTGGCTGATGTTAAGAGTGTGCTTTCAGATATTTAAAAAGCTGTGCCATTATACAAACATAAGCTTTATATATATATATATATATATATATATATATATAATAATATATCAGTGCGAGACAGAGTATTTGTTAAATATATATATATATATATATATATATATATATATATATATTGTGTGTCTATCTGGCGAGTAAACTAAAAAATTTACTAGCCAATGGCGATTCTATTGCCAAGGTGTGTGTAGAGAGTTGTTACAGAACACTTTTTTATGGTGCAAAATCTTGTTTTAGTAATGCATATTTTATAATGCTTTTAATGCACATCTCTGCATAAATGGTCTCCAAATTGTTTCATTCTTCATAGAATATCTCGCAATGCATCCACAGCAGACAGATGCATTCAATTTTGGTAGTAAATCCAACGGGACAAAAGCATGATTAAAAAGTGAATGTCATTTTTCATTTTGCCGTCTTGCTGCAGGGGTAAACAACCCATGCTAATAATCACAGTAATGCTCACATTGCTGATAGTATGTGAAAAAAGACCTGCAGGGTCAGGAGGAAAGGAGGTTAAATTGATCATAGCTTTGGATCACACAATCAAACCATATGAGAAAACGTCCAGTCCTGTACGAGTCAGTTTTATCTCCTTCAGATCCGTGGCACGCTGAAGAGCTGGACCAAGCTGTGGTGTGTGCTGAAGCCAGGCGTCCTGCTCATCTATAAGACCAATAAGAATGGCCAGTGGGTCGGGACCGTCCTGCTCAACGCATGTGAGCTCATCGAGAGACCCTCCAAGAAAGACGGCTTCTGCTTCAAGCTCTTCCACCCGCTCGAACAGTCCATCTGGGCCGTCAAGGTGCACGAGAAAACTCAGCGAGAGCCATTCAGATTAAGATTAACATTATTGGAGTCGCATTGTTATGCATTTGGGGTTCTAATTATTCAAAGTTCTAAAAGATGTCTTAGATGCATAATAAAAAAATATATATAATGTGTATATTTAATAAATAAAAGCATATATATTGAATGTAATGTTAAAAAATATTATAGAAATATTAAACATTAAATATTTTAAAACACACTACCATTTGAGAAACGTTTAGGGTCTATAAGAAGTCTCTTCCGCTCACCAAGGCTGCATTTATTTGATCAAAAATACAGTAAAAACAGTAATATTGTGAAATATTATTACAATTTTAAATAACTATTTTCTATGTGAATATATAGTCAAATGTAATTTATTCCTGTGATCAAAGCTGAATTTTCAGCATCATTACTCCAGTCTCCAGTGTCACATGATCCTGCTGATTTCCTGCTCAAGAAACATTTCTGATTATTATCAATGTTGGCAGTTTTTTTTATTTTATTTTAGTATTTTAGTATTTTTTTTTTGGAAACTCATTTTTTTGTCAGGATTCTTTAGAAAGAATTTGATAGAGGGTTCAAAAGAAGAACTTTATTTGAATTAATATTAGTATTATTATTATTTGAATTTTTGGTAACATTATAAATGTCACTTTTGTTCAATTTAATGCCTACTCACTGAATAAAAATATTAATTTCTTTATTAAAACAGATATTGAACAGTGTGTATATTCAATTTTATATATTTAAAACTATAAAACAATGTAAAAAATTAAATAAAACAATAAAATAAAAAAGAAAGTGAGTATGTATAATATGGGCTCTTTTTATATTCATTCAATTTTTTATATTCTTTTATTAGTGTAAAAAGTTATTTGGATAGTTGGATGAAGTGTTTATGTTTGTGTCTCAGGGTCCTAAAGGAGAAGCCGTGGGCTCCATCACTCAGCCGTTACCCAGCAGCCACCTGATCTTCAGAGCTGCTTCAGAATCAGATGGTGAGACACACACAGATTTACAGAACAGAGCTGTATGTTACTGCAGCACCAGTCCTTATAACACACTGCGTCGTGTGTGTAGGCCGCTGTTGGATGGATGCTCTTGAACTGGCTCTGAAATGCTCGAGTTTGCTGAAGCGAACGATGATCCGAGAGGGCAAAGAGGAGACGACGCAGACCGCAGAGCACTCGCACATCAACTTCTACAGTCTGCTGAGGGCACACAACATGCAGGGCTTTCAGTGAGACACGCACATTAACACAGCCAGCTGTCATCTTACTGGCTCTTTAGATGAATATTTAATTCAGCGTTGATAAAAAGTGACACTTGCATGTTCATTTTTAATGTCGGACGTTCAGCGGCAGAGTGCCGTGACATTTCCTTTAAATCTTAAGTGAGAGTTCAGTCTTGGCTAATACAATAGTACTTTTTATTTTATGGCACATGACCAGTAACAGAAATGACTTAATTTTCTATGCAGATTTACAATTAAGTGCTTTAACGTCCACTTTTTTGGCTAAATTGTTTCCCGAAATGTTTTTTCCTGTTTATTTTCCCATAGGGATTTTAAAAACGTCTTCATAAACGTGTTATAAGCCATGAACCAAAACAAGCAGCTACGAGTTTAATCACAACATCACAAACTTTGATTTGAAACAGAATTTTTTTGAAAATTGGACAAAACTACTGAAAGTTGAAATAATGTGAACCGATGGCTTCAACAAAAGCATATACCATTACAAATCATTTCGTTAAAAATCAATCTCTCTACTTTGGAAGTAAAAAAATCTCTTTAAAAAATTAAGTGTTTAAAAAATTTATTTATTTATTTATTTATATTACATTTTTATGATTATATTTATTGAAATTTAATTAATAAATGTAATTTATATAAAAATAATTTGTATATGTTAAAATAATGAAGTGAATGGGTGGCTTCAACAAAAGCATATCCCATTAAAAACCAATCTCACTATTTGGAAGTTTTTATTTCAAGTGTTTTTAAAAAAATTATAAAATTTTTTCATTTATATTGAAATGTTATATTTATATAAATATACAAAATATATACATTTTTATTTTA